GTCAAAAATGTGTATTCTTATTGGAATTTTAAAAGTTCACCCAAATTTCCTTTCATAAATCTATTTTACACTATGAAAATTGTAAATACATAAAATCGTTACACTGAGGAACTTAAGGACAAAAAAAAAAAAAAAAAAAAATTGATGGAAAACAACTGAAAAAAACCAAACATTAAAACCACAATATTTCATTTCATAAACTATGCATTCTCTGTTAAAAGGCATTCTTTTTTCTTTACCATTTTCTAAGTTTGGCCTATAGAGGAAATACTCGTTTTACCTGCTTCTGCTGAAAAAAAGCCAATTGAATTAAAATTATATGTATGTGTGTACTGAGAAATTGTCTGTGTGTGTGTGTACTGGTTTATATATCCTGGTGGGGACTTAAACTTGACTACACATAGACTCATGGGGACTCGTGTCACGGTGGGGACCTAAATTGTGGTCCCCACGGGTACAAAAGCTTATAAATCATACAGAATTACGTTTTTTGAAAATCTAAAAATGCAGAAAGTTTGTGTGAGGGGTAGGTTTAGGGGTAGGGTTGGTGTAGGGCAATAGAATACACGGTCTGTACAGTAGAAAAAGCATTACGCCTATGGAGAGTCCCCACAAGGATAGCTGACCAGACATGTGTGTGTGTGTGAGTGGTATTTTTTTTAATACACTCCAAAAAAATAAAAATAATTATGTGGTAAAATTAGGGTTGTTGCTAATCATTGACATATCCAAGACGGTAATAATCCCCCCAAAAAAACTGCATTAGCATTTATTATATGGAAAATGACATACATTTAAGCAGCGTCAAAACAGACCAGATACTTGGGTTTGGACCAAGCAAGCAAATACATTGTGAAAACTGACATTGTACTATGATATTTCATCCCCCAATCCAGAATATGTGACCCTGGACCACAAAACCAGTCATAAAGGTCAATTTTTGGAAACTAAGGTTAAGCTGAATAAACAAGCTTTTCATTGATGTATGGTTTGTTAGGACAATATTTGGCCGAGATACAACTATTTGAACTAACCAACTATTTGAAAATCTGGAATCAGAGGGTGCAAAAAAATATTAATATTGAGAAAATCTCCTTTAAAGTTGTCCAAATGAAGTCCTTAGCAATGCATATTACTAAACAAAAATTATGTTTTGCTATATTTACGGTAGGAAATTTACAAAATATCTTCATGGAACATGATCTTTACTTAATATCCCAATGATTTTTGTCATAAAAGAAAATGGATAATTTTGACCCATACAATGTATTGCTGGCTATTGCTACAAATATACCTGCACTACTTATGACTGGTTTTGTGCTCCAGGGTCACATTTGTGAAAACATCCTATAATCTGCATACAGTATAAAATCCTCACTCAAAACCTGTGATGTGACCAGCGCTGGGAAAGCTAACTCGGCAATCTGCTTGAGTACAGTAAGCCGGGGAGTTTGTGAGATATCCGGCAGCCCAGCCTAATCGATCCTGACCCCCTTTCAGTTCCTTAATAACTTCTCAGTTGAAAGCCCTTCAGTTCATCAGCGTTGTCTTTTAATTAAACGCAATCGCTGTGGTGCGCTGGCGGAGCGGCGACTCCTCCAGGGCGGCGGGGCTGTTTGAATACACTGATAATGGAATTTGACTTTGCTGGAGATGTTCAACCATTATTCTATTTCTCTGTGTTCTCAGATAAGTGCGATAAAGGCCTTTAAGTCCTTCATTTCCTCAAGTCTTTTTTCAGAATGGAGAAGGGATTGTTCTCTGTTGAACTTACACATGTACTGTAAGTAGATTAATCAATTAAGCCCCTGCAGATAATAAAAAACTGGAGCACTTTAGCAGAAATATCACTTTTAGTCAAGGAGAGCGAGCGCCAGCAACAAAGAGTTATCTTTCTGCTCTTTAAACATTGAGCATTTGTTCGTGGAATGGTAAGTTATTACCGCTCACTTTTTCTTCTTTTGGTTAAAAACGGGGCCATGGCTTTATCTCGGAAAAGGGCACATGTTTTTTTTTTAGATTCACTGTACATGTTTAAGACTCCATGAAATCGAAATGAAGAGTTGAGCTGTGGCTTTCAGTCCATGTGTGCTAAACTTTGAGGACATATGAATATGATTCAGTGCAGGAGGTTTTAAACTTTTTGATGCCACAGACCTTCAAATATGATGATGAGGAACACCATTCCAAAAATAAAAACACAGATATATGTACTGTTCAAAGGTTTGGGGTTACGAGATTTTATAAGATTTATTTTTCTATTATGCTCGATGTTTCATATTTGAATATATTTAACCATTACGCCTATGGAGAGTCCCCATAAACCATAAAAACAAACCTGTGTGTGTGAGATTTTATAAGATTTTTTTTCTATTATGCTCGATGTTTCATATTTGAATATATTTTACAATGTGTGTTTGTGTGTGTGTGTGTGCATGTGTGTGTGTGCGAGTGAGTGTGTGTGTGTGTGTGCGTGTGTGTGTGCGCATGTGTGTGCGCGCGTGTGTGTGCGTGTGTGTGTGTGTATGTGTGTTTTGAAGCGTTGAGAAATTTTTGTTCAGGATACTTGATGAATATAGAAAGTTCAAAAGAACAGCATTTATTTGAAATAGTAAAGACTTTTACATTGTCACACACACACACACACACGCACACACAGACACACACACACACACACAACTGTCACTTTTGATCAATTTAATATGTCCTTGCTGAATAAAAGTACACTTCAATTAATCATACTGACATCAAACTTTTGAAAAGTAGTGTACTTTCATGTATAATTACTTGTAGTAAAATATAAAAATAATTTAGTTTTTTCATCATAGAATAAAATAATTTAATAAAATAAATATTTAATCATGATTTCCAACCAGTTGCAAGGAAGCTAAATAAAACAATGATATGTTTATGTACATTTTAGTTTCTGATCTTTGCCTGTTTTCCTGGATTTTTCCCTCTCGTCTTGCCCCTGTGATTCTGTCTGCCGATCGGTGACCTACGCTTGCCCTAGGACTATTCTTGTGTTTTGTCATATACCTGTTTGCCATTGTTCGACCCTGCCTGTTATACCACGTCTCTTTAATAAAAGCTTGCAGATGGATCCACACGTCTCACGTCTCGTCAGCCCCGTTACAATATATAATGCAGCCTTTATATAAGATGCATTATAAAAGCAGTTGTATGTAATGTACAGTACATTTTAATGCATTATATGATCTTGTGAATAATTGTAACCACATTTATATTATTTACACTACACCTATAGAAAGTATAATGCATTAAAGGGGTCATATGATGTTGCTAAAAAGAACATTATTTTGTGTATTAGGTGTAATGAAATGTGTTTATGCCGTTTAAAGTTAAAAAAACACATTATTTTCCACATACTGTACATTATTGTTTCTCCTCTATGCCCCGCCTTTCTGAAACGCGTCGATTTTTACAAAGCTCATCGGTCTGAAAAGCTCTGCTCTGATTGGCCAGCTATCCAGTGTGTTGTGATTGGCCGAATACTTCAAGCGTGTGATGGAAATGTTACGCCCCTCACCATACTGTGATGATGCCCTGTCCGGCCGGAGAGACGAGACAAAACCAATAAAACCCATTATAAACGAGGCATTTGTTGCATCCAGTGGGGACATAATTACGGATTATAATGACTTCTACTGTCTTTTTACACGTTGCATTGCATCGCGCCGCGTAAACATAAAACCATGTCTGCATTTGTGATCGGAGAAATGACAAACAACAAGCGCTACTCTACACTGCTCAAAACTCACGTTTGAATCATCAGTGGCAAATTCTTTAAATATGAAAACGTACTTACAGGCTGCGAGTCAGAAGTGCCAGACTGTCCTTGCAAAGTTGGAACTGCCCCACTTTATAGAAACAGACACTGGAATTGTAGTCTACTCTACCAGGATCAGGAAACAGTCTGAGCACCAAGAGCTTGTAACACTCCAAAGAGAAAGGAAAAATTTAAATCGCATCATGCGACCCCTTTAAAACACACAACAAACAACAAAAAGCATTTTAACTTTGGTTACAATTATTTATGAAAAGATATAATGCATTATAACGTGCATTATGAATACCTTTAGAACTCATTATACAAAAAGGCTTTATGTAAAGTGTTACCAAAAAAACTTTTTTTAACAATTCTTCATGATTGACTTTCTTTAAAACATGTCTCAAACAACTTTTTTTTTCTGATGCAACTAAGTCCACAAGTTTAGAGAAAAATACTATTGTTATTATTATAACATGTCTCTCTGGAATACTTGATTCTGCCTGGGCAATTGTGGCATTCAGCTGTCAAATATATATAGTGGCACTAAACTGTATAATTGATTGTTGTCCCCATGTTTTCTGAACACATTTTTTTGTTATTCTAGGGTATTTTAATATGAATAAATTGGTTGCTACACTGGTTGCTCACCTGGGTTCCTCTTTCAATGCAAGTTGAGTCTCTCAAATCTCTCAGATATAATAAAAAAGGTTTCTTATGATTTCTTAAAGATTCTTATGGGTTTGGAATGACAATGATGACAGTACATGTTCATTTTAAGGTGAACTGTTCCTTTAAGATTGAGCCATAGTAACAGTGATGATTGCCTTGTCTTACAAACACCAGTAAAAACCCATGAGAACCAAACAAACATTGTGCGCACTTTGGTGACCTTCCACGTGCGACCCACGTGCTCACTTACAGTATGTATGGTGTCCGTTTTTAAAGCCTCACCTTCAGAATGAAGCGTCAGAAAGAGAGAGAGGTTTGCGCGGATCTGACTGTGTGGGAATACTTCATGAAAAAGACAAAGTCCTTGAGTCATTTCTTTCTCTTTCTGCCTCTCTCTCTCTCTCTCTCCGCTGAATCCTCTTTCCTCTTATCAGGCCAGCACAGGCCTCCATCGGCCTCTCCCCGTTCTGACAGGAGCAACAACAATGGGCCTGCGATACCAGTCCGCTTCACAGAGTAAACCTGCCAGGGGCACAGATTACCCGTGACACACACACTCGCACTCCCTCTCGTACTCTCCAAAACACAACACCGCCTTCTCCAAGGCCTCCAAACACAAAAATGGACACAAAAAGCGTTCAAATGATTTCACTTCTGTGCCTTGCTCTCCTCTCAATCGGTCCATCCGCTCTCTATGCCTTACTGTAATGACCCGCTAATTCACTAAGACTGTATACAAAATAAAACATTATGTTGACCTGGCTAACCCACAAGAGTACATATGTTAAGTCACGTCACAATGACTGTATTTAGAAATGAACAAATGACACACCAATGTCATAGTTATCAATTCTGGATTTTTCTGTTTTTTATGAATGTACCTTTTGAATTCACCCTGATAACAAATAAGTGAACCCACCTTGTCACTTCCTCCTGTGGCCGCCTCAATCTTCCCAGGGAAAGGTCCCCACGTGGTGCCCAGCAGAAGTGCCTGACAAGAACAAATCCTTCTCTCTCCTCCTTCACCAACCATTTTCAGCTCCCCTTAGAAGACAAAACATGTAAGTTATGACCCAAACAGCAGCTCAGCATGTTTTTTTACTTGTTTTTGATGTTATGTTAAAAAAAGAGATTCATCCAAGTACAATACAGTTCAAACCTTTGGAGACGGTACGATGTTTTATGTTTTTGAGAAGAGTCTCTTAGGTTCTCCAAGGCTGCAATTGTTTGATAAAAATAAAGTAAAATCAGTAATATTTTGAAATATTATTACAATTTAAAATAAGTGTTTTCTATATGAATATATTGTAAAATGTAATTTATTCCTGTGATTACTCCAGTCCTCAGTGTCACATGATCCTTCAGAAATCATTCTGATATGCTGATTTGTTGCTCTTTCTCTCTCTCTCTCTCTCTCTCTCTCTCTCTCTCTCTCTATATATATATATATATACTCTGTTTTGTATTGTATGTTCTTTCATATTGTGTATTATATTGTATATAGTGTATGTGCATTTCAATTACAGGGAAAATCCATCTGGGGTTACCTGGGGTTTATTGCCTTTCTCAAAGGCACAATGCTGAAAGTTCATGGGGTTTAAACCTACATCTACACAGTTACCAGCTGAGATCTTCAACCAAAACACCACAGCACTCCATGAGCAGACTAAGCCCTAGTGTGAGCGTCTCCCTCAATTAGAAATCATACAGCCATCCGCCAGACCCTCTCCCGGGTGACCCTGCCTGTCTCTTTGATTAGGCTTTCGCTCACTGCTGCGACAGGTCTTCAGATAAGGTGGATTAAGTCTCTTTCTGCTGGAAGTTTTGATGTGAACAGTGCAGGAGCGTGTTAAATTATCCAGTTTCAGGAGGAGATGCGAAATGCCGGCAGATGGATTGATAAATAAAGAGAATCTTGAGGCAGTGCTTTCAGGAGATCAGGGTTAAGCCTTTACGCCCATCCCCTCTCTGGATTAATAGATGTCTTCAACCACAGAAGGGCACCAATGTGGGGCATGATTCAAAAATGTTTTATATATAAATATATATTTAGACATTTATGAATTCTGCACACCAATATTTTACAGATCAAATATGTCAAATAAGTCTTTGTAACTGACTTGTAACTTAACATGCATAAGTGAAAGAAAAAAAAACATTCAAAATTAAATAAAAAAAAAATCATTTTCAAAATATGAGAGCTGCAGCGAAAGATTTTCAGCAAATAAAGACTTAAATTTCAGTCTGCTTTATGGTAATCATCTTCATACACTTTTACTGTATGGAGAAGAGCAGCATGAACATTCTTCAAAATATCCTTTTTTATGTATATTTTATTTTATTTTATTATTTAGTCATTTATTAGACGCTTTTATCCAAAGCGACTTACAAATGAGGACAACAGAAGCAATCAATTGTAGTATTAAAACAACTAAAAACAGATCCAAAACTAAAAGCTAAAACTTTATAAATACTACCTATACAGATTTAAAAAATAAAGAGATTCAATAAAAATGACAAATGCATACAACAAAATTTCAAAACTTAACATTTAAATGAAAAACAAAAACTAAAGCTAAAAACAATTCAAAATATTAAAGAACAAAAGGTATAAGAGTATAAGCCAATAACACTAAGCCAAACACCAAAAAACGACTTATGTGTATGTACAACCACACACACATACATATGCATACAACAAAATTTCCAAACTTAACATTTAAATGAAAAAAAAAATAAAGCTAAAAACAATTGTATATAACAATTATACAAAATATTAAAGAACAAAAGGTATGAGTATAATAATGATTCTAACATAACACTAAGCCAAACACCAAAAAAACAACTACATATGTGTACAGCCACACACATATACATATATACTGTGTATGTACAGACACATTTATAAATTCAATATATATATTATTTCATTTCCATTTAGTTTGTTAAAGTATTAAAATAAGTCAAATTAAATCAAACTAAAAACTTAATAAAATATCTATACAGACATAATAAATTCAGACATAATGTAACTAAAATGAAAATAAATAACAAATACAAATAATACAAATCAAATGACAGTAGTGGTAGTTTATCAGTAATCCTAAAAAATAACACTGAGCCAAACACACATGCTAAAAAACAACAACTAACTTACACATAGTAAGAAATGGTTATAAAAACTGAAACAGAAGTGAAACAAGTAATAGGAAAGAGGAGAAATAAAAAGCGAAACTTAATATATGTGTGTGTTCTGTGTATATTTATTGTTTTTTATTTATGTTCCACAAAAGAAAGTCATATTTAGAACGTACATTTTAAATGCTAAATTTTAAATCTGAGACTGTAAACTTAGTCAACAACTACATCACATCGAAGATTCAAGGAATCATTCACCCAAAAATCATGTCATCATTTACTCATTCCAAACCAGGGTCAGAAATAAACAGGGGCTTGTGGCAAAAATGCCAAAAAAAAGAACAAAAATTCCCCACAAATTCAAGACATGGGGCAAAAATTCCCCCCTGGACAATTAAATTAAATCTATTACGACTGATTTTTTTTGCAGCGTTGATATAACGTTATAACCATCACATACAGCTTATGAATGCAATGGCCAGTCAGAAGATTAGTCAGCACTGAAAAGAGTTTTGTTTTGTTGCGAATTCTCTTATAGTAAATAACGAAATGCAGAAAATATGTCATTTAGATTCATTTCGCAGTTTCAGTGATTATAACAGGAGTTTTTGCATAACTTGCGCTAAACTAGATTAACGTCATGGGCATGGTTATCTGTACCAACACCCATGCTTTTAGTATAACACAACAGCAAAATCGTGTAATCAACTTTGGAAATCTGAGACCATTACACTTTGATCCCGTCCTTGGAAACGGCAATATTGCATCTTCAGATATGCGATGCGCACTATTGAACACTCGCTCTTTAACTGATAAAGCATCAGTGCTAAATGACATTTTCATTGACGCAAACCTGGACATGCTACTTTTGAAGGAAACCTGGCAGGTGCCCAATGACTTTTTCAATTTAAACCTCATAACACCACCTGGCTACAACTATTTCTCTCAACCTCGTCTCCATCGTAGAGGTGGAGGGTTGGCTGTAGTTTGTCGTGAGAGTATCAAAACATCTAAGATTGAGTTCCATTACGTTGCATCTTTTGAATATCTTGCATTGAAAATGACTGGCAAAACAGCAATGGCTGTACTCTTAATTTATCGACCTCCAAAATTTCATTCAGATTTTTTTCTCTGAGATTAGTGAGTTACTTACTCTTGTCTGTGCTAGTTATTCATCTGTAATTTTTCTTGGTGATTTTAATATACATGAAAACACTGTACAATGCAACAAACTGATATCTGTTCTGGACTGTTTCAGTCTAACTCAAACATGTAACTTTTGCTACTCACTCCAGGGGTCATATATTGGATTTGATATGTACATCTGGCTTATATAATATTCTTGTTAGTGGAACTGATTTAGCTAAACTTCAGTTTTAGTTTTCCAATTTCTACATCACCTGTGAAAAAAATGCTCACTTATCGTAAAATCTCTCTCTTTCTGCTTTTACTCTCACTACTTCTGCTGCCATAAGTGATCTAATTGTGAAGTCAAATTCGACATCCTGCCAGATTGATCCTACACCTACTGTTTTGCTTAAGATGTGTGTTCCTGAGGTTGAACCTTTCATAGCACACATGATTAACCATTGTTCCAGCAGAATTAAAAATGGCTGCGGTGACCCCCATTCTTAAAAAACTGGTTCTTGGCCATCTAGACATGAACAATTATAGACCAATCTCAAATTTACCATTCTTAAGTAAAATTATTGAAAAAGTTGTGGCTTCACAATTGAGATCTTACTTAAATACTAATGGCCTTTTTGAACCTTATCAGTCAGGATTTCGTTCATCACATAGCACTGAAACTGCTCTTCTTCGTGTGGTTAATGACATTCTTCTGTCCATGGATTCTGGGTTAAATAAACATCTTGATTCTTCTCGATCTAAGCTCTGCATTTGACACAGTCTGCCATGAAATACTCATCTCTCACATTTCTGATATCAGTATCACTGGTTCAGCTCTTTCCTGGCTCATTTCATACATCAGCGATATAAAATAGTATATCACAATACAAGGGTATAAATCTGCCACTGCTCCAGTTTCACAGGGTGTTCCTCAAGGTTCAGTTCTTGGTCCACTTCTGTTTATCATTTATATATATCCACTTGGTGACATCATACGCATGCATGGACTTCAGTTTCATTGCTATGCTCATGGCATTCAAATTTACCTAACCACCAGCTCTGATAGGTCATCACTGCCTGACTCACTTACTGCATGAATCAGGGATATCAAGCATTGGATGTCCTTGAATTTCCTTAAACTAAATAATAACAAAACTGAAATATTGATGATTGGCTCTGCTACCTCAGTCAAAAGGATGGACCTGTCCTTTGAAATTGACGGGGTTCATTTTAAGCCTTCTTCATCTGTCCGAAATCTTGGTGTCTTATTTGACTCATCTCTATCTTTTGCCTCTCATATTTCTTCTGTTGTTAAAACCTCTTTTTTCCATCTCCGTAATATTGCACGTCTTCGATCTTCTCTAACTCCAGCTGATGCTGAAATCTTAATTCATGCATTAATCACATCACGTCTGGATTATTGCAATGCTCTATTTACAGTTCTAGTAACAGTATGTTCAAAACTCAGCAGCAAGAGTTCTCACCTCCACCAGGCGTTCTGCTCACATTACTCCTCTACTGCATGATCTTCACTGGCTACCTGGGGCATCACGTATTCACTTTCACTGATATTACATCTAACATTTAAGGCATTAAATGGTCTTGCGCCTCCATATCTGTCTGACCTACTGTACTCCTACTCTCCTGCCCGGACCCTCAGATCATTTGAGCTTAGTATTTTGTCCATTCCTCGTTTCCGGCTGTCCACTGTAAGTGGTAGGTCATTTAGTGTTAATGCTCCTAAATTATGGAATTCGCTACCCCTTACACGTCGTAAT